GGCATATTTATAGTAATTTTGATGCATGAATCATGAATGCCTAATAAGGAGGGGAAACTAAAAAGGAGTTGAAACTTCCTGGTAAAGTGCTCATTTGCAGCTTTGTAAAACCACATAATTTTCATATGATTCAATGCTTCTTTCAAGATTCAACATTCAACTTTGTCAGTACAACAATATACACATTATACAGCGTACAGTGGAACCCTGACTTACGAAATTAATTCGTTCCCGAGGGTCTTTCGTAAGTTGAAAATTTTAGTAAGTCGAAGCACCCATCGCTCCTTTTGAGTGAGCTATAGGCTAATTGCTAACTGCAACAACAATACGTCGTTCAAATGGAACAGCGAAGGAAGTACGAAAGCCAAGGGGGTTGTCACATGATTCGGAAGGCATTGTGGGCCTTCTGGACTCAGCCAATCAGAGCCAGCGGATTTCGTTACGCGGGCATTTTGCCGTAACACGGGCAGAAATATTGCCGTTAAGTGCCTTCGTAACTTGAATTTTTCGTTAAATGACAAATTTAACGAAATTGCAAATGTCCCAGTAATTGCGTTTTTATGAAAGCAGCTGCAACACTGTAACTTAACAGAACTTTTAGACTTGTGTATTTATGAAGCCAACTCGCTTGGAAGAAGTTGTTTTGATGGCATGCATACCTGCAGTGATGACGGGTGTCTTAAAGGATATATCCGTGAATGCAGGAGTGACGCAGAGCATTATTTGGCATTGTGTGTTCCTTTGGCGTGGTGTTGTTTGACTGGGTGATGAAAGTTTTTCTGGTTAGACGGACTGTTGTTTAGAATAATTTGACTTTTAAAGGTGGCTTTTTTCCTGAGAGATGGTGGAAATGCCAAGTGAGGTCAGAGCAGCAAGTTTTTACTCTACACAATCAAATCTCTGTGTTCCCATGTTTTCGTGTTTGGACTTGTATGCTCAAACAAGGCCCATTCAGCCAAAACACCCGCTGTAAATGGAGAACTTAAATAGAAATGAACTTCTTATAGAAATCTCTAGCAGGATGAAAACTTTTAGGAGCGATCTGAATATTACTTTGTTTGTTCAGTCTGTTTGAGCAGTTTCCTGCTTTTTTGTTTTGTTTGTTTTTGTTGTGTATTATTATCAGTATAATTACAGCAAGAGTCTGAAGACATTCTCTTACTGCCCCATTTTTTTTCTTTCCCTTTCTATGGCTCTGCTTTATCTTTGATGGGACATAAAACCTTTAAAGCAAAACGGCTTTATTCAGCAGCAGTGAATACATAGCTACTAACCATCTTACATGTACAGTATATTGTGTGTTCGTTGTGTGTTAAATATGTTCATCCCTGTTTTTTGTGGGTCAGACATGAAATTCATGTGTGCCAACAAGTCATTGGTGGAAAATTTGCTGCAACTGTTAATTAAAGTTGTGAAATACTGTTGACGAACACGACACATGGGAACACACTACAGGCTGAGAGGAGGGCGTGGCTTAAACATGTATGCACAAAGCGTGCCGCGCTGTGTTCCTGGTCTGTGAGAAGACTTCTGTGCTTACCAATTAATAAATAAATAGCCTTTACAGAGGCTCTGGCAAGGAAAGCATGATTAATATTTAATTAAATGTTGACACCGAGCTGGTAATAAATAGTAAATGTAAGCTGGCAGAACATAGAATTGGGCAATCAGTTACAAGCTATGGAACATTTCCTGCAAAAACGCTGTTACATGAACACTGATTGTGGAGATAAAGGTGATAAATGCACTGAGACGTAACATGTCGTCTGGTTTAGAAACCTTTGAAACCATGGTTGTGTGGACTGAAGACTCTCTCAATGACTAAAATATTTTTCCTTTATGACTTAAGAAGGCTTTAAAACTAGATTTTCTTGCCCAACAAGTGGAAAGGAATTTCTTTGTGCGGCTCACATTCATAATAGGAACACAAGAAAAGCTGGTCCAAGCCAGCAATGTCAGCTTTCAGATGGGCCTGTGACATGGCAGACGTGTTGACGTGTCATTAAGTACACCTGTTTTGTAAAAAAAAACAAAAAACGATATTAGCAAAAGCTCCGAGTGTGACCAAAGCTTTGAATCTGAATGAGTTGCTTGAAATTTAGCTGCCACTGATTTATTCATTGTGCAGTTTTAATTTGACGTAAACCTCTTTTTGGGAAGAGTGCTTGCATACAGATAGACAGATGTTTAAATTCAAAGTGGAAAAAGTGTTCATTAATATGAAGACTAACAGGATGCTGACTGCACTATAATTGCCTGGAGTGGCCTGCTAAGCTCTGTTTGGTACATTTCTGTGTCTCCTGACATTGTTCAGTGCTTATGTTTGGTTTTTGGAAATCAAATTAATCAACCTTATCAGCTGTGCTAAAAGACTCTTTAACAACATTAAACATTAAGCTGATTGAACGTGCCAATCTGAGCTTGGCGCCTTGTAATCAGGAACTGTTAGTCAGTCAGATGTCAGAGGGAGATTTCCCATAAAATGGCCAATTCATTACATTGTCTATCAAAGCTGAGGTAAGACCCAACAATTTTATTTATTTTTTAAAAAACAGTCATGTATGTTATAGTTATAACCCTCTAGTTTATTTAAAATGAACTATGGCGTCATGCTTATTGCCTCTATTGCCGCATATATACAGAAAAAAGGTGTTAAACATATGTCCACTCAATTAAAAAAAAAAAAAAAACTAACAGAGAAAGACCAATGTTTAAAATTTTATTTGTGGCATGAAATCACAAGCTTATTGGGTAACAACTTATCAATTACAAGTTGTGAGCCCATGAGCGTTCCACATTGAGACCCGCCTTTCTTTGTCATATCCAGTTTTTCCCCCCACACAAGATTGTAACAATGGAAACGCTCATCTTGAGGCTTCAGAAACCAGTGGATGACATCATTGTAGCTACATCCACCTTTAATCTGTCTACAGATGGTACAAAAGATGGACACACATTGATATTATGAAAATAAATTTTCATCTTTTGGATATTTAAACCCTGAATTTGTGCTTTCTAGTATTAGCTGACAAAGGAAATAAGCTATAAAGCTTGGTTAATTTCTTGGTTGATTAGTTACTTGCTAATAAGTGTTAATTAACATACCATCCAATATTAGAATTTCAGTCACCCAAAGGTAAAGGGGATTAATTACACAAAGTTATTATTGTCATATAACTCCATTAAAAATGTTCCAAAAGAGACAAAACACAGTTGAGGTCAGAGACTGGTGTAGCATGAAGACAGGTGGCAGCTATTCCCCTTAAAATACATAACTTTAAACTTTAACATAATAATAAATGGATGAGCGTTTTTTTTTTTGTTTTTTTTGTTTTTGTTTGTTTTGTCACCAGTGTACAGCTGTCACTAAGTCGCTACAGAGATCAACAACATTTTGTACCAGGCTGTAAATATGTTTCTGGTCTAAAATTGCACATTTTAACTATTGGCGAGGATTTCAGGTTGCTACCTCATCAGGGCAAACTATATTTTGTGTTCCACTGAGTAACTGAACCGCACAGTAGCACATAGGTTATTATCTGTGTCATGCCATTCAGTGCAGCGGTAAGACCAACAAGGTTTGTTTTATTAAATGTCACAGAACCACACCTCACCTTCAGATAAACTTTTCAAACACAAGACTTTGTTTTAAACTCTGAAAACTGCTGTTGGAGGTTTGTCCTGCTGTTCCAGTCGTCGCAAATAGGCTATAAAAAGCTCATCCTTAATGAGAGGTGGTGATGACAAGGAGGGAGTGATTGCATTCCTCAGATGGACACGATCACTTTGACACACATCCCACGTCATCACACTGCATCATTTTGCTCATGGCATTTGTCAGTCAAAGTAGGGAGAAAAACAGAAGTACAGCTCCCTTCTTGTGACTGATTACTGAGTATTAATGGCTATAATGATACTACACGTGGGCGGTCAGTTTTCCTGCCGTGAAAACTTTTAGAGTTGATCAGTCAGCTGGAGCCAGATCTGCATTTCCTGATTCAGCTGCATTCCCGCTCTTTTCATATTCTTAAGTACTAAGTCAGTGTGTGGCATCTGTAAACCTGTTAGACTTGTGACTGCTGTCTTTTTTTCCCCCTGCAGTGTTCTTTACTTTAACTTCTTCGTCTGAGAAACTGAGGCCTGTGGAACCATTAATCCTTGTCAACCTGACCAATTTTTTTAAAATTTTATTTATTGAAATATTAATGTTTTAAATTTATTTAGCTTGTTTTTATTATAGTCGATGCGTTTATTTACAGTTTACTGTGTACATTATGGAAATCTGAAGGCCCCATTGATTTCAACTGTACTACTTTGTATGATGCATTGTAGTGCTTGCATCATCTTCCTCATTTATGAAACAGACTTGGAATTAAAAAGAAAAATGCAAATCACGACTGCATGGGCTGTATATAAATGATGGATGCAACGTGTGGGTCTGAAAACTGAGGCCAGAACAAATTGTATAATTATTGTACAAATAAAAAAATAAAATATGCTGAATCTGAGGGCTTATGTGGAACTAGCCCTAAGGAAAACTTTGTTAGTTGAAGTTTTTGGAGATTGTGTTTTTGCATTTTTTTTCTGACAATCTTGATACTAACATATGTAAGAGGCCCCACATGCTGAGCAGGTTTGCTTTTAGCATTGGTATTATCATCTAAGTTGTATCTAGTGTCTGATGCATCCTTAGTATAAACCTTTATTCAGGAAATCACACTACAGATCATTCATATATTAGTTTTGTCTAGATTAAACTGATCTGCTGACTCCATCTATTCATTTATGTATTCATTAATTAATTTATTTTTTGTAAGCAGGTCTGAAAAAAAGGCACCTGGTGCATCATTGCAGTTGTTGCACAACGTAGCTGTTGGATTGATTGTTTTTAAAAAGTTGCAGAACTTCTCAGAAACTGTCTGAAGACTCCACTGTGAAACAATCTGTAAAATTATTATTGAACCTACTGATCTCATATTTCATATTTTTTCCTTTCTCAGAGATAACTGACCCACCAAGATGAGTCGACGACGTGTCGACACCCGGAGCTCCCTGGGGCCTGATGATGAGGTCATGCCATACAGTGACGATGAGACGGATGACGAATTGGAAGAGGAAAGCTCTGAAGGGGAAGAAGAGGCACCAGAAAGAGCACCGCAACCCCAAGTGGAGACAAGACCCACTGGTGAGTTATTCAAGACGTGCAATGATCTTCCTTTTTTTTTTTTCTTCAGGGGATGAATGTGTCATTTTACACGCAGTTTTCCTGTTTCATAACAATTTCTATTTCTCCCAAAGTATTGATCAGATTTTAATGGACATGAGATTAATTTGAGGTGAATGACAAATGTGTTTGAGCCTCCTTAAATTCTCAGTGGATTTTTAAGTGTTATTAACATGTGCATAACTAATGTCACTATAAGGCAAGGCAAGGCAAGTTTATTTGTATAGCACAATTCAATAACAAGGTGATTCAAAGTGCTTTACAGAGACATTAGAAACAAAAACAAATAAAAAGCATGATTTAAAATTGATTAAAACAAGCAAACAAACTAACTAATTAACAAACAAACAAACAAACGGCAAATAATAATAAATAAGGCAAATAATACTGGTTGCTGTGTGGTTAAATGTCCTAACATCACATCATACTGTGACCCGCTTTTGGGGACTTTCTAGTTTCTTCTGAAAAGGTTGATTCTGTTCATCTGGACGTAGCGTTTTTAGTGGGAGAAACGTTTTGTCCAAGTGACTTTTTCAGCCTCAGCTGACTGCAGTTTTCCCCAACCTTATAAACAGTAAATTTGCACAATGATGGAAACTAGCACAACTGAATGAACAATGGGCTGTGAGGTCAGTTCCTTGATTATTAATATGCAAATTGTTATGACCATTGATAAGCTGATGTTTACTGTAAGCCTACACACACGGATCAGTATTTAAGGTTTGACTCTCATCATCCACTGGAGCATAAACTGGGTGTCGTCTGGACGCTACAACACAGAGCGAACACCATCCGCACTGACACAGCGGCCAGGGAAGCAGAAGAACATCACATCAAGAAGGCCCTGAGTAAATGTGGTTATCCCAGCTGGACTTTTGTCAAAGCTGGGAAGGCGCCAAAAGAAAGCTCCAGCCGATCCAGGAGAGAAGGACAACCGCTGCCTAAGTGAAAACCTGTAGTGATCCCATATGTGTCAAGAGTATC